GAAAAGAGAGCTTTATTTCTTATAAAGAGTTGCAGCCTGCAGGCTGGCTATCCTCAGGCTGGGGCGCACTTTGAAGGAGGAAAGGTGAAATGAGAATTTATGCTGAAGGGTTAGCTAAGTATACATATTCAACAGGTTATTGGAGGAGCTATGAATATTCAGAAGTGGGATGTATACACACATAGTAAGCAAACATGCGTGCTACATACATCCCATGTTCACTCTGGGGTGGAGACTTAACACTTAAATGCATTAGAATCAGGCTCTCTGTCAAAGGGTGAAATGGAGGTCACAGAGGCATCCTGTGCACAGCCTCTGTAAACCAGCCACAACCACTTCATGGCTGGTGGCCCCCTATCAGGAGGGAATACTGGCTAGTATTTGTGTCAAACTGCAGAAGGGGAGAGGAGTCCTGCTAAAATCAGTGGTGGAGCAAGTCTTTTGAAAGGGCTGGCTTTGGTCAAGGTTGGTAGCTTATACCTGTAATCCCAGCACTTTGGGAGGCTAAGGCAGGAGGATTACTTGAGGCCAGGAGTTCAAGAGCAGTCTGGGCAACATAGTGAGACCTTATCTCTACTTAAAAATAAACAAAAGAGCTAGTTTCTGTTTAGCCCTTAGGAAAGAAAGCTTACTGGCAATTAGGGAGGGAAGAGTATAATGGGGCCTGTCTGACCTCCCATCTGGTCGTGGTGGGGAACTCAGTTTTTAAGTTTCCTGTGGGGTATGCTTGGCAAAGAGAGGGGGTCCATCCAGTCAGTTGGGAGGCTTAGGATTTTAGTTTTATTTCTCATACCAACAACAACAACAAAAAAGGGTTTTAGGCTCTTAGACAGGGGAGGCAGGTTATGGGACGATGACCCTGAAAAGTATGGTAAACAAGGATTGTTTATCAAGGTTTGTTATACAAATTTAAATTGATGCCTTCTCCATTGAGAAGAGTTAAGAATCCTTTCTTTCCTGGAGAGAGAAACACCTCTACAAAGGGAAATTTCCTTTATAGATGTAAATTTTCTTTATGATATAAAAACTTGTTTTTAAAGCTTTCTCTGAATCTGCTGGTTCTCAATGACTTTTAGCTGAAAATAATTTATATGCCAATGGGGCATATTTTGGGGTGGCATATTCTGGTACCCGTCAGGTGTCAGTATGGTTTTATGTCACATTATGACAGGAATATGTTCTGAGAAATGCATCATTAAGTGATTTCTTTCTTGCGTGAATATCATAGACCTACATAAACCTAGATCGTACAGACTACTAGACACCTCAGCTGTAAGGTACAGCCTCTTGTTCCTAGGCTACAAACTTGTATAGCATGTTACTATACTGAATACTGTAGGCAACTGTAACACATTGGTCAGTACTTATGTATCTAAGCACACCTAAACATAGAAGAGATACAGTAAAAATATAGTATAAAAGATGAAAATGGTACACTTGTATAGTGCACTTACCATGAATGGATTTTGCAGGACTAGAAGTTGTTCTGGATGAGTCAGTGAAAGGTGAGTGAATTTGAAGCCCTAGGAAATTACTGTACACTACTGTAGGCTTTATAAACAATGCACACTTAGGCTACACTACATTTAAAATTTTGCTTTCTTCAGTAATTAACTTTAGCTTACTAGAACTTTTTACTTTATAAATTTTTTAGTTTTCTTTCTGATTTTTTGTAGTAACACTTAGTTTAAAACAAGTACATAGAGCTGTACCAAAATTGTTTGTTTTTTAGAGACAGGTCTCGGTTTGTCACCCAGGCTAGAGTGTAGTGATGCAATCTAGTCTCACTGCAGCCTTGACATCCTGGGCTTAGGTGATCCTCATGCCTCAGCCTCCTGAGTAGCTAGTGTGTAGCTCCTGAGTAACAGGTGTGTGCCACTATGCCTATCTTTTTTTTTTTTTTTTGTAGAGATGGGGCCCAAGCAATCCTCTTGCCTTGGCCTCACAAAGTGTTGGGATTACAGGCGTAAGCCCCCACACCCAGCCAATGTTTTCCTTACATTCTTCTATAAGTTTTTTTCTATTTTTTTTTTTTACTTTGTAAACACTTTTTATTGGAAATGTGGACACAAACATATTTGTCTAGTCCTACACGAGGCTAGTTCATCAAGACTTCACTAGGTGAAGGGAATCTTTTAGCTCCATTATAATTTTATGGGACCATCATTGTGTATGTGGTTCATTGTTGACCAAGATGTCATTATGTCATGCATGAGTACATTTCATTTTGAATGATGGGCCAGCTACTTAAAGGTATTGATATGAGCAAGGTGGTATCTATCTTTGAACAAAAATCCCTCTATATAACGGACCATTCCATAAGAGTATAAGCAGGGAGATGAGTTAGGGAGATGCCAAGTGTGAGACATGGCAGTATGGAGGTAAGGGTGAAAACCAGTTGGATTCTAGATATTTTGAAGAAGGAGTTAACAGGACATGCTGATGGATTAGTCTGGGCTGCAAAAGAATTAAGACTGGAGTCTTTTTTTTTTTTTTGTAGTCTAAAGTCTTCCCCAAAGCCCCACATCAATAGAGGGGATAGGAACAATGTGGAGGGATTCACAGGCTCTCTCCCATCCTCTGAGTGCCTACATTGGTCATCATAGGCTGGCTTGTGTACTTCTTCACAAACATGATTTTGTTCATAACTGGACCATGTTCTCAAGGGCCATATCTTAAGCTTTTCTGAATCCTTCAGCCCTACCCACTCCCAATAGAATAAAAACAGTTGTGAGAACATAGGAAAGGATGCTATGGACTAAACCTGGGCTAAACCCTTTTCAGGTAGTGATGACAGCCTTAGAGATGACGAAACAGACTCAGGGAGTAAAGCTATTTCCCTGATAGTAGTGACCACTTGAAATAGCTTCCTGCCTGCCTGCCTTCCTTCTGGGCAGGCAGGAATTTGGGTGGCAAATGGTTGATCTGGGTGTTATACCAGCAACTTCTCAATTTATGATGCTGCTGAGCAAATGTTGCCTCATTGTGATCTGTCTGCTGAAGGAGTTCAGAAAATGCCACCCCCAGAGTATGCTTTGGTGTGCTGATTGCTTTGAACTGAGGGCATTTGAGAGACAGTGGATGAAGGCAGAGGCTAGCTTTGAGCTCACCTTATCTGTCTAAAGACAATCCTCCAAAACGAACTCAACTGTCATGACTTCCCCAGGAATCTCTTCAACCAAGAAGACCAGCTCATAACACAGGAGAGGAGACTGAGGTTTGACCTCATGCCCAGAAAACAGACTTTGTCACAGGCTGTCACCTTTTCTTCTGAGGGCCCACTCATCTTTCCCAGCATGAACTGAAGAATCACGAGGTTCGAACATTTGGAAAGGAGGGTACCATGACCTGCAGGCAGGACGTGGAGCTACCAGCTGAAACCAAAAAGCAAGTGCTCTGAGGGAGAGAAGGATGAGATGGGAATTTATGCTGAAGGACTAAATACACATAGTCAACAGGTTGTAGGAGGAGCTATGAATGTTCATGAAGGGGAGTGAGTACATGTGTAGTAGGCTAACATGTATGTAACATGCATTCCATGTTCACTTTGGGGTAAAGACTTAATATTCAGTTAGACTCTACAACAAAAAGTGAAGCAAAGGACAGGAAGGCTGTCAGTGCAAAGTCTCTGTAGACTGACCAGAATCACTTCATGATTGGTGGTCTCTATTGGGAAGGAATGCTGGTCAGTTGCTGTGTCAAAACAGCAAAAGGGAGGGACGGCGTCAGGTTATTGGTTGAAATTGGTGAAGGGAGTCTGTCGGAAGCTGGTTTCTGTTTAACCCTTAGGGAAGAAGGGCTAATGGGGGTTGGGTGAAGGAAGGGGTAGATGACAAGGCCTATCTAACCTCCCAGCCCATCATGGCCTGGAACTCAGGTTTGTTTTTTGGTTCCCTTGGCAAGAGGCGGCCTATTCAGTCAGGTGGGGGGCTTAGGATTTTACTTCCCACCAAAACTCATTTACAGTTCCCTCAGTTGCTTACATCCCCCTCCAGCCTCCCATATGAAGAGAGTGAATATGCTTCTAGATCTCACTGGGTTTTGGGGGATATTCACTTTTCTTTCATGTGATGTCCCCATGCATACAATAAATTTGTATTCTTATTTTTACTGTTAATCTGTCTACTGCCAGTTTGTTTCATAGACTCAGTCATCAAAGCCTCAGAGGACAGAGGGAAAGTTCTCCCTCCACATACTATTCTCGGCAGGTGCCAGAGCTACCTTTTCAATGGAGACGACTTCCCTCTGTGAGTGACTTCAGGTGGTTGGAGACCAAAATATGCCACCACAAAAATATAGCTGAAAAGTTATAATTTTAAGAGAAAGTTACATGAATAAGGGAAGTCTCCACCTGTAAGAGTGTCTCCCTCTCTGTCCCAGGAGGAGAAGAATGGCTAAATCACCAGACACTTAATGGAGGAGGCATGACTTAAACCTGCAGAACAACCTTACCTTTGTCTAAGGTGCTTTTCCTGGTCTTTGGGTCTTAACAGGGTCTTTTTCCATACTCTTATTTCTTTATTTCAGAGAACCGATGGTATTTAAACCTGAAGTTTAAACTTTTTCTTTGAAATCTCATTTCTCTGGGTTATCTCCCATATGTACAGGAGATATACACATTATCAAACTTCTGTTTGTGTTTTTGCTTGTTAACGTGTCTTTGTTACAGGGAGTCCTGGTTAAGAATTATGAAGAGTAGAAAGGATTATTTTTCTTCCCCTACAAGGTCCTACCCCATTTCCCCCACTCTTTTGAGGGAGCCGGTCCTAAATGTCAGGTGAAGGGAATACCATATCCTATGAATCATTTGTTATGCCTTTTTGCTTTATATTTTAAGCCTCTTTCTTCATACCTTCCCCTCAACAACTTGAACATGCTTGTTTTCTGGCCCAGGCATAGGAAATGTATGCAAAGGGCAAACTAGAAGCTTTGCTATTGAGAGCACTCATATAAACCGATTTTCTTCCCAGTGCCTCCACCCAGTTCTTTTCTTCCTACAGGACTCAGACTCTCTTGGACAGAAATCTTTGTCCCCGTGAAATGCTGCCATGTCGTCCTGAGAGACAAGATGGGTGAGTTCTCTATCGTGATGATGTGAAGTTGGTTTCCTCGGAACATCTGGTACAACTGGGCCATCTGAGCTGGCCCCCAAAGCCGCGTTGTTATTTATGCCCGTGGCTTTAGGGCCCCAGGAATCAATGACTGTGAGGCAAACCCTGACAAGATCATGTTTCAGCGTGTCTCCCCTGTGGTAGAAAGAACATGACCCCATATTCTTTCCATGCCTGTTCAAACAAGAGAGTACACGTTTCTGCCACCCAGGCTCTGGCTGTGCATGTGGTCTTGCTAGCTAAGAACTATGCTTGACGTGGAGATAAAGCACTGCAAGGGGAAGTATTGTGTCTTCTGGGATCCTAGAGTGGATTCCAGGGAAAAGATCATGAAGTCCTGTATTACAAAATCTCCCGTTCCATTTCAAAGAGTCTCCTCCAAACCTACTGTTAAAAGTATCACTGGTCCAAAAACCCAAATGGAGAAGAGACTTGGGATCTCAGGAACTTCGGTGCCCCATGTGGTTTAGCCAGTCTCTCATGTTATTTAGCAAGCCCATAGCAGGCAGCATCCTGGCCACGAAGTTGCCAGAAACAAGTGAGATAGATTTTTGAAAATATAGCCTCTTCCTCAACCTCTGTAGAAACATCAGTCTTTGATACAAGGTGGTCAGAAAACCCAGAAAAAAGTACTTTTGCCTGGGCCTCAGGCAGCAGAGAGGTCCCTTCCAGCATTGCAAGTTCCATAACAAGCTCCATAGTGACCCAAACTGGCAGCTTGGTCCTCACTTGTAGAATGGGGAAGGCCGGGGAACACTTCAGAAGATGGGCCAGCCTCTATGGACTCACCAGGCATGATGACAGGTATCCATAATTCTAATTCTAATTCTAATTCTAATTCTAATTCTAATTCTAATTAAGGCCGGGAAACACTTGGCAAAGACATGGCCAGCCTCGTGGACTCGGGCCCAAAGATGACAGGTATCCAGGCACTCTAATTCCACCTAATTCCCAATCTTCACCCCCACTAATTCTAATTCTAATTCTAATTCTAATTCTAATTCTAATTCTAATTCAATTAACCACTCAGATTTGGGCTTATGGGAAAGAATGACATCTTGGGAAAGGGAGCTGCTTTCTCTCAGCCCCTCTCAGGGAGTGGAAAACTTCCCGGAGCGTACAAGCAGCTTCCTATACAGATGAGCGTCTTGCCTGATGGCGCGCCATGTTTCCCATGGGGAAAGCCTGGGGCAGGCTTGGCCACTGAGGCCTGATTGTCTCTGGAAGGCAGGCCAGATTCTATTTCTGTTACCACACAGCTTTCTCCTATCTCCAGTTCTGCTCTTGCTATGTTCCAAGCTGAGTGCTCTCTGACTGACTTGGCTTTGGTGAATTCCTACAGACATCCCAAATTCTACCATCAAGGGGCTTGCTTACTCAAGAGCCAAGCTCATCTTCAGTGAGGCAAGAGTTACCTTGGCAGATGCATCTCTGGGTGGCAAAGCGTTAATACCTCTTGCTCTCTCCCAAGGCCTTTGAGTGGCTACCTCTGAGGTGAAGTCATATCTTCTCCCTTGGATGGCCTTACCCTTAGCCCTCCCTGAGCCAGGACAGACAGCTGGCCTGCCCCATGGTGTGATCTCAGAGGGTGTCTCCTCAAAGCAACATGAGAATTTTACAGGAAGAGACTCAACACACACTTCTTGGAGTCCAAATGGGCTGGCCACAGAATCGCTGGAGAACCTGGCCAGTGTGATGCTGACAATGGCCCCTCAACAAGCTCCTGTAGCCACAACTGCCCTCCAATATGTTTCCTAACCTACACTGGTGCTCCCACCCTCTGCCTACCACAGAGAACCTGGAACACTAGAGGTGACCATGGGAATGTCTACAATAGCTTCATGGTTGCTGTCAGGACATCCGAAGGCAACTGTGAACCTATTTGAGACTAGAGGGGAGGTAGAACCCTCCCTCAGCTCTTTAAGTCCAGCCATTCCCCAGGGCTTGTTCAGTCAAGGAGAGAGAGAGGCTGCCAGCAGCCTCTCTCCTTGGGAGCTGTGATCCAAGCTTTCTGCAGACTGACATGGAGTGCCTTCTGCAGAGCTCAGTGGCTTCTCTGTCTCCCTCCTGAAGCCAGGGTGAAACGGAGCTGGCATCTAGAAGTCTAGTGAGTACTTCCTGGCCTGGGCCCAAGGAAGCTGTTCCTAGTGGGACAATAGCTGGTCCTCATAACTTGAGGTCGAGTGGGAAACTGTTCCCAGCTACTTCATACAGCAGAGGCAGCACAGAAGGAGCAGCCTCTTTGAAGGAGGAAGACTGGGTGATGCACTCCATCCCTTTGCTCTTGGGTTAGTTCCTGGGTTCTGGCTTTCTCACATTCTGGGACCCTCCCCTGGATGTGAAGCTCCTTCAGGGCCAAAGACATGTGCTACCGCATGTGGCTGCTGCATTGGTCGTGGAACTGTAACCTCCTCTGGGGAGTCCTCCTCCTCTGGGGAGTGGAGGCAGTGACCTCCTCTGGGGAGTCCCTTGAAGAGCATACTGACATGGCCACTCACCCTCCAAAGGCGCTGCTCTAAAGGAAGCCAAGATCTGGAAATCCACCCATTCCCTGGAACAGGTATGGAAAGACTTCACCTGGGATCTGCCAGGTTCTCTTCCTAGCTTTCCAGAGAACCTCCCTAGGAAAAGGACCCAGGCTGTGGGGGCTCCTGCTGTTCTACCCATCTGTCCCCTGGGAAGAGGGTGAATCCTCTCTGGAGACTTTGACACTCCAGAACTACACCGGTGGGTACTGCTTTTTTTCTTATCTGTAAGAAAAGCTTAGGATTTTATTTGTCCGCATCCTTCTCTGTATTTCAAACCATCCTTCTCTAAATGAACTTTAGAAGTTTCATTACAGTTTCTTGAAGGTAGACTCTGATTTTATTTATCTAGTGTCTTTCACCCTCTTTCATTATGGTTTTTGTTTGTTTGTTTGTTTGTTTTGAGACAGTCTTGCTCTGTCACCCAGGCTGGAGTGCAGTGGCACAATTTTGGCTCACTGCAACTTCCACCACCTGGGTTCAAGCAATTCTCCTGCCTCAACTTCCCGAGTAACTAGAATTACAGGTACCTGCCATCACGCCAGCTACTTTTTGTATTTTCAGTAGAGACGGTGTTTCACCATGTTGGCCAGGCTGATCTTGAACTCCTGACCTCAGCTGATCCAACTTCTTGGCCTCCTAAAGTGCTGGGATTACAGGTGTGAACCACCATGCCCAGCCTCATTATAGTTGTATTGGGTACATGATTCTAAGTTGAAAACTTTTTCTCTCAACATCTGCCAGAAATTATTCCACTGTCTCTTGTTTCTGTTGTGGCTATGCAACCTAAGTGACATTTCTTCAAGGTGATCAATCCTGTCTCTGACTTTATTTTAAGATCTTTTTAAAGTTTTGAAATTTCCTTATGTCTGTGTCAATTCCTTTTTTATTTTAAATTTTGCTTGAGCATACTAATTCTGGGTATTTATTTTTGGATGGCAAACTGCCCCAAAACTTAGTGGCTTAAAGAAATAACCATTTTATTACCTCTTTTGTGAATCAGAAATTTAAGCAAGTATCAGCTGGGCAATTCTTCCACCCCACACGAGATTGGCTGCAGTATCTTGGTGGTATTTAGCTGAAATCTGGGCGGGTCTGGAAGGTCCAAGATAGCTTTGCTCACATGCGTTTACAACATGAACATCAATGGGGACAGCTGGGAGGCTGGACTCAGATGTGTCCCTCTTCCTTTTACACAGTCTTGAGATTTATCTAGTCAGATTCCTTTTATTTATTTATTTATTTATTTATTTATTTATTTATTTATTTTTTGAGACGGAGTCTGGCTCTGTGGCCCAGGCTGGAGTGCAGTGGCCGGATCTCAGCTCACTGCAAGCTCCGCCTCCCGGGTTCACGCCATTCTCCTGCCTCAGCCTCCCCAGTAGCTGGGACTACAGGCGCCCGCCACCTCGCCTGGCTGGTTTATTTTTTGTATTTTTTAGTAGAGACGGGGTTTCACCGTGTTAGCCAGGGTGGTCTCGATTTCCTGACCTCGTGATCCGCCCACCTTGCCCTCCCAAAGTGCTGGGATTACAGGCTTGAGCCACCGCTCCCGGCCGACAATCTAGTCAGATTTCTTACAAGGCCTCTGGCTTTCCCCAGAACAAGAGACAAAGATGGAAACTAAGGCTGCTTCTGACTTAGCCTCAGGAGTCTTACAGCATGACTTTTAGGTCCTATTTATTAAGCAAGTTGCTGAGGCCATTCCAGATACAAGGGGAGAAGGATTAGACACTACCCCGCAAGGGGTGGTATAGGGAAGTTTTTATGGCCATCTTTAATACTACATTGTACATCCTAGATCTGTGGATTCATGTTGTTTGTCAGTTCTAGAAAACTCGTAGCCATCAGATGTTGCTCTTTCTTCCATTTTTCTGCTTTTTCTTTCTGGGTCTCCAGTTAGATATCTAAGACTTTCTTCTTTGAGCCTTCAAATCTCTTCTTTCATGTTTTTATCTCCTTGTCTTTGTGCTAAATTATGGGTGAGTTTGTTGGTTCATGAGTTTTTCTTTTCTCTGACATTTTACCACAAAATTTCAAACATATGGCCAAGTTGAAAGACCTTTACAATGAACAACCAATATCTACTACCTACATTCTACCATTCATATTTTACTTACTTCATATCTGTATATTCATCTTATTTTTGATGTATTTCAGGTAAATTGCTGCATCGGTATCCATTGAGCTTTATATCAATTTTGCATTTCTAGAAGTTCATTTATTTTCTAATCTGCCTATTCCTAGTAGTGTTTTTTATTTTGATTATATTCTTTATTTCTTTAAACATTTCTCATGTAGCTATCTTCTTTATCTTAAAATTCTAGTAAGTCCTTGGATATAAATTGTTTTTTGTTGTTTTTTGCTAAAAATGCTTTACTCTTGATCTTAATCTATACAGCACTGTCTGTTTGGAAGATATAAAGGAAGACAGCG